TTTTTGGATCTGTCGTAAGTGAAAGAAGAAGAGATGGCACTGTGGAGTGGACCCGGGTTCTGATCCTATCAGACATTTTGGATCACACCTCTTGTCGGGCATCTCAGTGCATCGACCAGGCACTGAGACAACGCAGGGGAACAAACCCGGTGGACACCATTCATCTTCTTTCGGATGCCGGGCCGCACTTTAGATCCTACGAAGCACTGCACCACTATTGCTGCGTCCTGCCAGTGCAGCACCAAGCTCGAGTATGTGTCCACTACGGTGTGGAAAAAACATTTCAAGAGCGAGGCAGACAGATTATTTGCCATCTTTGAGCGCTATGTGAAAGATGCCCGCAAGCAAGGCACTGACCTGGTTGAGATTGCCGACTTGTGCAAGTTTCTTGCAGGCAAAAACCAGGCGGCACGCAGCGCAGACGCTACTGCCCCGTTGTTGGTGATCATCAATGATGTCGGTTCCCAGAAAAAGCCGGCGAACGAAAGATATCGCCTGCAGGCGAAAAAAATTTCACATTACTCGAACATATTGTCTTTCCAGTGCTCCAGTGGCTCAAGGTCCCAGCAGGCTGGGCGTCAAGGTGTTCAACCATGTCTTCTCCAACATGGTTGCAGCCACCAATCTCACCAGTGATTTGGAACTCCTGCCCAGCAAGGATTCTGCCCCTGCATACCGCCGAGGCTTTTGGTCTGAAACTGGGCGAGAGCGGTGAGACCATGATGTTAGGCCCCTGGGTCTTCACGAGGAGACTACCTTGACCAGGAGGCAGAGCGACCAGAGCCACCTACTTCCAGATGGGGCAAACTTGCGCTTCACAGGGGTGCCAGATGCCCATTGCTTGATTGAGAAAAGAAAGCAATGGGCAGAGAAGCAAAAGCAAAGGGCTGTAGCACAAAAAAAAGGCTGCAATGAACCCTGGCTCAGAAAGTTCGGACTCGTCATCTGGCAGCGACAGCTCCAGTTCTAGCACTTCATCTTCTCAGAACTGAAAATGTGTGTGCAGCTCGGAGGAGGCAGGTGTGGGTCACCTCCATGTTGGGCTTCCTGGATCGGATATATCCTGTTGCTAGCAGTCGCGTTGTGGATTTGGGGGGGCTCTCAATGCATGTTAACCAAGGCTGTGCAGATTCCAGTTCTTATTTACATGCAATGTGAGAGGCAAATCCTCCTGGCACCGCTTGTCACTGTGTTTTTTACCCCTACCCTAGACCTGGCAGGTTGGTCCATGTGCATGTGTGTGTGCTGCTGTTCGCAAGAGGGGGGGTCAAAAGCATGGAAAACGATAGGGTACTCATGTTCATACTTGCAAAACCCAAAACCATGGAAAACGATAGGGGACTGACAAAAGTGAAACGAAAACACTCCAAGCATATATTTTTGACGCTGACTCATATGGAGGGGTTGGACTCGAATTTTGGGGGCTGGGGTCGAACCAACCGCTGGGTGTTGAGGGACCAGTCGGGCTGTTAGCGTTTGGGTGGGGGGAGGGGTTGCGATCTGCCCACACTACATGCTGTTCGGCTTGGTGGGAGTTGACCCCAATGACCCCAAACACGTAAGCTTTGACCATAGCCGCAATGGACTGGGAGACACAAGCACATCCGTGCCCACTGCTGGCTCTAAGGTGAATGAGAAGCATAGATGAGTCTTTTTCACCTGGATGACAGAGTGATTTGACATTTCCTCTCTACCTGGACCCTCCAGTTCGTACAGTAGAAATTTGGGAGTTATACAATATTAAACAGGTACCGGTACATGTATGTACATGTACCTGTTTTTTTTCCCAGGTACATTTCCAGGTCGACCGTCCCGTCTGAAAAGCAGTGTCTCGTGGTGATCGTCGCCAACGGTTGGTCAAACCATGTGTGCCATTAAGGTATCAAGAACACCCGGCATATATAAATCATGGGGGGGAGCCAGCCACACCAGCCACAGGAACAATGAATCCAGAAGGCACTGAAGGGATATTTCAGGAATGCTTTTGGTGAAAGCCCGTGGGTACCACTTTGGGGTGCAAAAGGTTTGCTCTCAAGACCAGACCAGTACGTGGCATCAGGTGGCTCCACTCCCTGGAGGGTGGATGGTGACCTCTTACAGTGGCTTAGCATGATGCCTCGGTGTACACAGCGACGGAAAAGCATCTCCCCTTCAAAAAGATGTCGGCCATGTACACCAGCAGTCACATGTCGGGGTGGTGTTTAGTCATGTTTAGTCCCATCCAGTGAGTGGATGTTCTGGGCACCCCTAACCTCCATAGATCGCTGGTATAGACATCGTTTCTATCTGAACAATATCGACGCTTTTTCGAAAACCGATCTCGGAGCCCGGTGGGCGCTCCGGGTCGCTGTTCACCGGTCTTCAGGATGCCCCAACCGGTCATGGATGAGCTCCAACGTCTTCCCGCGGGCTCCAGTGCTTTGTCGTTCCTCGGCCGAGTTCGGCGCGCTGTTCCGCGCCTGAATTCCGGCGGCGTTTGGGGGCTCTGATGATAAGCACTGGTAAAAGAGACAAACAGAGTGGAGTGGATGGGATATAGGGTTCATGTGGGTTCATGTCACCTTCAAAAGAGGTAGGTACTGCGACGAGAGTGAGATGCAGATCCAGTGTCTTTTCAGGCAGATCCAGTGTCAAAGTCCGGTCTTTGGACGTTTAAAGCAGCTACAAAATTGTACTCCAGCACTCCCCAGGACGTGGGCTCCAGTGCTTCCCCTCACCTTCAGGCGTCTTCAAACTTCAGACCATCTTTGCCCCACTGGTCTTCAGATCTTCATTATATGTTTGACCTTCACACCATGCAGTGCACACCATGCAGCGCCATGAGGGTTTTAACCCTGCGCCACTACCACCGCCCAGGCACCACTACCACCGGGCCACCTTGGTGCAAAGTGATTTGATCGGCTTTACGCGCATGGCCTCGTTGAAACCGCCGGAGGCCGTGGTCAAGGCCGTCTCCGTGCCTTCGCTGGGGTGGCCGGGGTGCCGGAGGGAGGTTTCACGCGCGGAACGGCGAAGCTCCGGAGTGTGTGCAGAGCTGCAGCCGGCGGCGGCTGGTTTTGGGTCCCATCATGTCCCATCCAGTGGATGGTTTGGGCGGAGCTGGATGAATCTGGATGATGGTTATAAGTATGCCAGGACCTTCCAAGGTAAGGGAAGCCACTGAATCACTATAGCAGGATAATTAGTATATAGTCGAAGTTGCTTTGTGTTTGGTAAGCACTTGTCCTTCCAAGGTGAAGGCGAGCGGTAACCCTAAAAAGGACAATAGATGATGCACTATGAACATTTGATGGATTCCCAGAATGACGTTTGGGAGCCAATCCCCATTTGCCACCTCCACCATTATAGGAGGTGATGCTGATGCAAACGCTGGTTCCATCCGCGGTCTTTGGGATTCCGCGAATGAGATTCCGCCTTCTATGTTAACAACTTTGTCCAACTTGGTCCTTCTATGTCCTTCGGGTGAAGGCTCTATTGGTGTCTTCTACACATACACTCCCGAAAACTAACATAGACCCTGACAATGGCCCCCTGGAGGGTTGTTTTCCTCTACGAACCAGTGACTGTGGTTTTCAGGGTCCATGTTAATGTTAGTATGCCAGAGTGTACGCCTTCTTTCCGTCTTTAACGACCTTGGCTTAGGGGTTAGGCTTTCATCGTTCGCTCTGCTCCCAGAACCCCCAAACACTCTCAATCTCTCTCGTTCGCTGTGCCTTCGTCCCAGGCATACGGCGGTTCGCCTGTGTATGCCTGTGGTGTGAACGGCTGAGGACCTGTTTGGCCTTTTCGATGGCTTGGCTGATGAGTATGGGATCTACAAGGTGAGTCCGCTGTTTTTTTGTTTTCAGCACCGTGCGGGTGCACACAGCACCGAAGCATGAGCAGTCCGTCCATCCGGATCGCACCGAAGAAGAGTTGATCAGACGAGCCACGACAGCCATCATCAAAACAGGAAACTGACCTTTCGACATGTAGAGGATCAAATCGCTTTTCCACTACCTGGTTCTTCAAAGTGACCTTTTAAATTTGATAACCTGGTTTGAAGTCACTTAAGCCTCCAACAGGGTCACTTAGGAACCTTCAAAAGGTCACTTAGAAGAAGCTGGTAAAGCTTCATGTCCTCTCATGGATGTTGCAGGGGTAAGCCTTCGTTCCTGGTACTTGTTTGGCAATCACTCCATCCGAGTATTTGGAGAGTGGAGCGCAAGTGTGTCGATGAACTGAATGTTGGAGTGATAGACGACCATGATTTGTACTCCAACCATCCTGGCTTTCCTGCAGGATGACTGCAGAGCACTAGAGGTGACTGCAGCTCAGGGTGATCCAGTGACTGCACGTGTCGTGTCGCACAGTCCAACGCACGAGGTGGAGACTGTGGGGGATGCCTACATCGCTGGGCAAGCTGAGCCACCCTTGACGCTGGACAACTATCCGCCCAATGCACCTCGGACGTCCGACCAACCATACCAATCCTCGGAGTCCGGGCCCGCCTTGGGCGGCGGGTGAGAGGCGTAGACCCCGCCCACTGAGGTAAAAAGAGATGTCGACTTTCCCAAGGACCTACCCTCAAAGGCCCTAACCAGGAGGTCTTGACAAGAGGATTTGACAGGTCTCACAAGAGGCGACCCGCAAGACCGGTGTCCTCGCTGTGCAAACGCACGCACGCACGCGGGCAGCGCACGCGGAGCGCACGGCAGAGCGGGGAGGTGATCCGCTTCGGGTTGAAGATGATCGGAGCGACTAAGAAGTGGTCATCGGAGGCTTGGAGGAAGTGGTCATGGAGGGTGGCCCCTTGGCCCTTGTGGCCCCTGGCATCAGAGGCTTGCTTGGAGTGGCCCCTGGTTGTTGTTGTTGTTGCTGCTGCTGTTGTTGTCGTCGTTGTTGTTGTTTTATTACCCCCTCACAAGTGGATGTGGATGGAACAATGTGGATGGATGTGGAAGTGCACTGTTCGAGACTTGGGAGGGGATCCCAAGTCAGTCCTCTACAGCAAGCCTCAGCCAGGACCTAAAATATCATCATCATGGAGTCCATGGAGGTGGAAAACCCCTTGTTCATCCTTTTTATAGAGTTCGACTTCCAAGGGACCCTGCCATCCAGAGTTTCCCCTGAAATCATCATGCATTTCCCTTCACATCCCCAATTCCGAACCTCTTCCGAACTCTGAAGTAAGCTAGCTCACAAGCTAGCTTTAAGGCTTGAACGAAAGCCCTGCCTTCACCCAGAATGAGCGTCACGTCACCCCCCCCGCCCCGGGCCAAGGACTCGGATGAGACCATCGGGGTACGCGTGGGCGTGCACTCAGGCGCCTCTCTGAGAGAGAGAGAGCGGGTGCAATCCAGCAGAGGTTGAAGAACCCGAACTAGACTATCCTATAAGCTCTGGGGCTCCTGGCCCATACCCTCAGGTTCGATGGTTAGGCCCCCCCAAACGCCCCAAACCCACCATAACCATCTTCGAAACGGAGGTAGGCCAGGAGCCCTAGGGAAGATAGTAAGATCACCCTGTAGGTTCCCCCCCCTTGCAGAGGTAAGATAGAAACCTATAGAATCCTATAGACCCCAAAAGACCTACAACCCGGACCCTAACCCTGGTTACGGGTCCGAGTTCAGGTCACTTCACCTCTGTAGGATCCTCCCTGCACGTGGCACCGACACTGCACCTGCACTGCTACTCCTCATCCCTGCGCCGCCTCTTCGCTCGCCAAGACTTGGGGAGTTTTGCTTCATTCTTCCCGCTTTCAACACATCCATCATTGTGATTCCTCCAGTTTCACTTCCTGAAATCAGACTCACCCTGCTAAGGCACCCTGTTTTCTGGTGAACATTGAGATGCCCCCAAATCACCTCAACCCATCACGCACCGCGATGTGCGCCGAAAAAGCGCGGAAAAAGCGGCCTTCGCCGAGGCGAATGCATCGGTGGCATCGTGGGGATCGACAAGCAGCGCTATCACCTCTTCGGCCGCTTGGCGCGTTTCCCCCCACACGACGCGACGGCTCACTCGGACGGTTGGAATAATGATCCCTAGGGCTCCAGTCGTACCTTCTTAGAAGGTGGGACTGGGGAGGGTTTAGAGGGTCCAAATACCTTCTGAGGAGGTACTTGGAGCCCTAGGGGATATGAACCAGCTTCCTATTCGTGACCCTGTTGGCTTAAGTGACCGAACCAACCAGGTTATCAAACGGTCACTTTGAAGAACCAGGAAGGGGTTGTTCAATTCAAGTGGTTTATGAATCAAGAGTCATAATGCTGAGAAGACCTGCGCAAACAACCACTATAGATGTGTTTCGGGACTTTGTGGAGATTTGTAGGGCTTTCAGAAAGGCGATGCAGAGCAACACTTGGGCCGCATTGAATTCAGCCCGTTTTCCCCAAGGGCGACATGGATCGTGTCATTGGGACGGTGTGAACCGAGGGGCGGAGGATGGCTCCACCTCCGTCCGGACGGGGATGGAGAGGGCGTCCGGACGCCGAACTCGAGAACAGCGCAGCTCACCGGTCGGACACTGCAGACATTCAAGAACGAGCCGCTCATGAGGTATAGACGCGGTATAGATGAGATCTTGAACCATAGACTCGATAGACTCCACCGTTAAGATCTGGGCCCCCGGGCCAGGGGTGTCTAATAATAGCTCCTTATAGTTAAGGTTAAGGGGTGTCCATTAACCACCCCTTAGGGGGGGCCCTGGTATAGAAGAGGTTTTCACATCCAAAATGGAGTAGTTTCAGACATCAACTACGTGAGTCTAGTTGCCTGGGGAAGATGTGCAAGACCAAGTAGATCGGGACAAACACGATTTAGTCGACAACACTTACTCCGCAGACCCGTTTGTTCTTGAAAACTCGTAGCTGCTGCCAAACGGCTAAACTCAACAAAATGATAGCTGGACCATCCAAGGGATGCCCAATGGAAGCCTATAGGTAGTGTGGGGTAGCATTGGACACCCCTTGGATGGTCCTGGTACAAATTGTTGAAGATTGCTCTCGTTCCACACCCACACTCTCCATTTATTCGACCAGGTCAGCTGATCCACCAGCTGGAGCTTCTAGAGCCACCCGGCTTGGCGCGGTTTTTTTCCGGAACTGGCCATGGATGGAGGATGACCAGTGGGACGAGTGACAGTCACCAGTCATGAGCGTGTCATTCTAGGATGTTGTAGGACTGGGATGAGCTCGGAGGGTCTAACTGCTTTCTTATGTGGTTCTGGAGGCCCATAGGATTAGGCATGGACCAGGAAGTCTCAAATTGGGGGGATGGTCAAAGGAAGGAATCCTCGTATATCAAGGAAAGATCGACTAAAGGCTGTTGGTGCGGGCGTCTCCACATTCTAATGCACACCCATGTGCCACCAGGAGGTCCGCGAAGGTGTGGCCATTGGACTGGAATCCGAGAAACCAGGAGCTGGGGGCTCAACCCGAAGCCTCCAACCAACAGGCTTTCGTTCCAAAGCTGCCGGGAGAGTTGTCCGGCGCCGTCGTCCTTGTTCTCCAGGTCCACAGCGCCAGAGAATGGGCTCCAAGTGGCTTGGTCGAACTCCCGCGTCGTGCACCGAACGGGAGCCGGAGCGAAGTGGAGGAGGAGTGGAGCGAAGTGGAGGACGGGGGGTCGAGCAGCGCAGAAAACTCCACCAGGGGTTGGGATATAGGGAGATGCCAGCTCCCTGAACCAAGTTTGGTTGCCAGGCCGGCCAATTTCTAGGTCAGGATACGCGACCCAAAGTGCGACCCAAACCTCATGGAGACTCCAAACTGGTAGTTTTGTGTAGTTTGGAATTCCTACATTAAACCTATCTATATAGTAGACCTTAACATGTCTTGGGGGGTTGGCCATTGCTCCTGCCCTGTGCTTCATCTAATTGAGCTACGACCAAAGCCTCCAAATGGAGGGTTTAGTGAGGATTTCTACCATCCAGCAAGTATAAAGGGATTGCCTTGACTGGTGCTGGCCATAGCATAGCTCCCTTGACGACCCGTGCTGCACTTGTCCATTGTCGTGGTGAAGCACGTAACCAAAACCGCTGCGGAAAGCGCTCCGGGTCACTTGCAAAAGCATGCCGAGAAAAAAAAACACAACAACAACAACTTTCCGCACAGATGTGGGATATCGGCATTGTATGGCATGGTGAAAAGGATTCGCATCATTTGGCATCGATGTGGGGATGTGATGATACTCCCTCTAGGATATACATATGCGGATGCGCAACTATATATCTTGATTATCTTAAATCATTGATTTTGTATCCCTTTTTAGCATCCTAAAGCTACTTTTATGTGCCTGCGGTAAATTTGTTCAATTGACTATGCCCTTTGCATCCCTTTGCCATAGTGTCACACGCTATGTGCTCTTTGTCTTGACAAGTTGACCATTTGTTTTCTATACTGTGCACTTTCAGCATGATAGCACCGGTTGGAAATATCACTGAACTCTCGCATCCTGTTGGAAAGCTATCGAACTGTGCAAAGGTTTCGCTATCCACGACTGTCAGTCACTGATAGGGCGCCCCCCCGTCAGTGAGTGAGCGTGAATTGGGTACGCATAGTGTGCCTTTGGTTCGGTTGAATCGCGGATGGGCGACGAGCCTCCTTGGGCGACGAGCTTATATATATATATATATATATTAATCTTCTGGATTCTGCATGTCGAAGTAGCATTTTAAGTGCAAAGTGCGAGGGGAAACCCTCCTTGATCATTCTATGCTGATTCCCCCTCAAACACGAAACCCTCAATGCTTCCTGCCAGTAGCTCACCCCCCCAAGTTCCCATTTTCCCTCTGCATCAGCTTTCGCCCTTCTGACTCAGGTGAGCAGTTCCTGCAAGGCGGCGGTGGAGGCCGCCTGGGCCAGCGATACGCACACGCATCGTGAGGAGAACCTCTCGGTGTCCTCGTGCTTGCGCTTCGACTTCGTCGAGCGCCCGGAGAAGCACCTGGTGACCTCGAAGGCGCCGGCACAGCACGCAGCCCCACTGTGGCTGGGAGGAGGGAGGAGTGGGGTGCAACTTGGAGGAGTGGGTAAGCCCCAAGACCAAGAGCATTTGAGGATGATCTGATGAATCATGATGAATCTGATGAGGGATTTGATTTCTCGATCTTTTTGTTTTACCTTTGCTCAAAGAAGGCGCCAGGTCTTTTCTCCCGGCGCCATTAGGGCCCCCAATGGATCTGATCTGACCTGTATGGGATTTGGCAGGGAATTCAAACCCTTTTTGAAGCAAGGAATCAAGGGGCAATTGGTGCTTGATCAGCAGAGAATGGGCGCCCATGTTATGTCAATCTTTCGTCCCCCCCCCTCTCGACATGATGTGTTGTTCCAAAAATCGAGGGGTTCTCAATGGTTTCCACTTATTTCAACATATCCCAGACACTCCATGTCTGTCATATATGCCGATCACCCCTCCAACCACCCCTGGCCACGGCCGTGGCCGTTTCCGCCAGTCCCGTTTCCAGGTCGTGTCATGGGTGTCCGACTCCCGAGCGACCGACTCCACGGCGCCCTGCCCAGGGGGAAGTGCATCAATATGCAGAAGTGGGCGGCCGCACCTTCTTAGTTTGGCTGCCACCCTCCTGACAGAGCGGTTGGGTGGGCGGCGCACGCTTGCGAAACACCTCCCAACAGATGGTGGATTGGGGGTCACTTTTTAACCCATTGAGTTCCGGAAGGTATGTTCATTGAACTCTTGGGGTTGGGCAGTAAATATTGACATGCGTAGAAGACCTTTGTTGGGAACTCTTTTTGATCTTGGCTGACGTGGTTGTGCCACACCCCTGACATGCTTCAGCTACGTAGACGTAGCTGAAACCCAATATCCCGTGGCGGGGCCGGGGCTCGGTTTTCCGCAGACTTGTGCGAGCTGGGGCCTGTCCACGCGTGGTCCAAAGTGACCTACAGAGCTGGTGGTCCAGAGTCCAGAGCCTTGCCACTTCGCCGGCTGAGCGGGGAAGACCGCGCTTCGGGCCAGCCGCCAACGTGGTCATCCCTGAGCAGGTTCTAAGCAAGATTGATGTTGATAGTTGAGCCAGAATTTCCAATGATTCACTTCAAACGGAGATCATTATCCATCACCATAGGGGTAAAATGAGTGTAATATATGATATGGTTCTCTCAAGGTTTAAGAGTGTTTCAACAAGCGAAAGGTAAAGACTGTGCCGCAGCTGGAGTTTCGGGAGCCCAGGGAAACCGGCGAAGTGATGTTGTCTCTTGGTCTTCAGAGCGCAAGTGCGCAAGGCTGTTCAGTGCAAATGCCATGAAGAAGAGCGGCAAAAAGGGGCAGTGCCCCCGCGCTTCCGAACGATTGGGCAAGGACAATTGAGAGAGCTAATTGGGGGAAACTGAAGAGAGGCACAATGAATAGGTGGGTCCTTTTTCAGTGGGTGATGCAGTACAACTGTATACTTATACTGTTTGCGTGTTGTCGCAGGTGATTGTCCATTGTAAGCATTTGTGTTTGCCTAATGTAGTTGGTGGGATCGAGCCGAGTTTTGACAGGGGTATGCGCCACCATATGTTGCTCTATAAAAAAGATTGCTTTTGCCATGTGCCCGCGTTGGATACGTTAGATCTCCGTCACAAAGCCTTGTCCACTCAGCCCGGGGGGCAAAACGAATCACATTGGTCGTGGCCGGACCAATGATCAAGCTCCACCACATCGCTCTCACCCCCAAGGATGCAGGCCTATGCAGGCTTGTTAGAATCATATTGCCATGGCCGGAGCAGTGGACGGGAGGAAGGGCTTGGAACCTCATGATGTACGAGGATTAGTTGAAGTCCTAACTAGAACTGGGAAAGTCAGAGGTTCTGGCAGAACAGTCCTAACATGTCCTAACTAGAACTGTGAAAATTCAGAGAAACTCTTGTTGCAGAACCCAACTAGTTTGGTTCTTTTGGTGTCGCTGTTCTTATCCCAAGAAGTCAAAGTCCTCGATGGCCCCTTCCACCTCGGAGGTGACCTGGGTGGCGAAGACGCCCTTGTTGCCTGCCAGGTGCCCCCGATCGATCGGTACACGCGGACGAGAGTCGCGCGGAGTGTTTTTTTTTGCGTGCCCAGTCCACTGGCTTGAGCCAGACATGACTCTGTCATGAAGGGTTTTGCCTTGTTTTAATTTGAGACTTCCTTCAACTCCAAGAGTTCATGGACCTTCAACTCCAAGAGTTCATGGATGTTAAAAATCATCAACCTTACAATACCAGTTTTGGGTGGCGTGCACATGACCCTGCTTCTGATACAGACTCCCCACCATAATCACACCACACTCCAACCCATCACAATGTCATGTCACTACCACCATCACGACTAAGTGGACATGGATGGTGGGTTTGGCACCAGTTTCACCTGTCACACGCACGGGCCCCTTGGAACGACGTGACGACGTTCCGAAGACCCAACTGGATCCAACTGGTGTTTTTCGTTTTGTTTTTCTCCCTACCTTGACCCGACTTCAAGTAATTACCTTAGAACATGTGACATCACCCCGTGACATAAATATCTAACAGGTACGGTACGACGTCGTACTCGTTTTTTTCCAGGTCACCGGTCACAGGTCCGGTCACCTCCAGGTGCCTCGTCCGTTCGGACGGGTCGTTGGACGGTCGGACGGGTCGCCAGGAATCAGAATGACTTGAGAGAATGGCTATGCCAGCGGCTTGTGGTCGAGGCGACGTGGGTATTGGTCGGACGGTGGGTGGTAGGAAGGCGGTGGGGAAAACGAAGCGGAAGCTGCGACTAAGACGTCCGCAGCTGCTCTTGTCGTAGGAGTTTGTTTTCCACAAACTTGAGAACTTGAAGCTGCCAATGATATACATCCAATGACCCATTGAAATAGCTTTCTCAGGCATTCTCCGGACAGTACTCAAACAACAGGTGGAATTCATATTGAATCTATTTGTTTGTTTTGACGGGGGCTAAGACTAAGAGCATCATTTCTAGTAAATAAGCCGGTACTTCACATGTCTTTATTCCTGTCGTGTTTGTGGAGTTTGGGCTTGTTTGGTGGTGTTCCCCTGCACCACACAAAACAGATCAAAACAGCAAACTTAATGGCCCCATTACTGGCAAACTACTTGTGGTCAAATTCGATCGGGAACATGAGTCAGCAAAACAACTCGCTGTGATCTTGGTTCCTGCATCACTGCATCACTGCTAGGCTGCCAGTTAGTAGGGCAGTTTTGGCGGTTCATGCAACCAAACTGCTGGATATAGATCGTCACTGTGAAGCTGGGTTCTGAAATTGGATCATAATGCCAGAGTTTGATGTGCATCTCCCTGTGTAACGAAATTTGTTCAGATCCAATACCAAATCTAATTTGCACTGGAGGTTTTGCCAGTGGCCCGGATATCGACTTTCAAGAGTGAGAAGTCAGTGCACACACAGGGTGAAAGTAGATGGTGCAACTCCAGGTTTAGTAAGGGCATTGTAGAATCCAATACATGAGAGTTGTGCCATTTGTCAGACTGGTGTTTTCATCCTCCAAGCAGCGACAGCCCGACGGCGAACGGCCGCGTGTAGGCCGTGCGTTTGCGCTTCTCTGCACGCGGGGAAGCCCACGACGGGTGGAGCGACCCAGCGACGTCCAGTTGAGCAGCGGTTTCTTGCTCAACCACTGCACTAGCGGGTCAAACCCTGGGGCCAAAAGACTTATTTGGCACTTGGGAGCAGCAATGGACGGCTGCCAGTTTGAGTACGTCGACGTACGATCTCGCTGGACAGACTGCACTGGACGAGTCTGCTGACACCCCTGGGTTCGCATAGTTCGACATTCATTGACCCATTTAAGACCCCGACATGCCTGAGTTACAGATGACACTCACTTGCATTTTTTCACTTGGTCGACAACATGATTTTAGTCCCGTGCCTGGCCCGTGCTTTGAAGTCCAGTTGTCCCCTCAGAGGGCCTCACTGGGGGAGGTGTGTCAAGCTTTGTTTTGATGGTATGTTTCAAGTTGATGGATGTAAAAGAAATCAAAGAAATAGACAAAAACAAAGTCCAAGATCGAAACACTTTACAGTATATCTCTTGGTTTGGCACTTTATTTCCTTTCGGATCTTTAACTTAACTGATACTTTTAGCGGCCCCAATGACCATTCGAAGCGATGCACGGAGAAGGATTCTGCGACAAAGACCAGGTGTCTTGAGTAAACCAGCGGCTTTGTTCAGCTTCTCTCTCCAACCCTTCGAAGCCGATATCTCACATTCAAGGGCTTTTGCAGACGTATGCTGTGTCAAGGTTCAGCTTCAAGGTCGTGCTCGGGGCACATGGTTTGCCAACCTCAACCCCTGCTTCAACGCTTGATGACGCTGATGCTTTCCCCTGCTGCATGTGTTTCTCGTTCGGGGGGGGGCCCGGAAGGACCCCGAAAAGAGACGCAAGGAGAACAGGACAAATAGATTTGGGTAGGTCCTCAGGTTGGATGGAATATATCTTGGATCGTCGGATGGACCGTTGAATCCCATCACCAGGGCCCAGTGGATGATGATGGGGCCTTTTCTTGCCGGCCTTTTCTCTAAACTGGTGATCATTGTTTACCGACTGTCACAGGCAATGGGACAGACCCAAAGAATATATAGTATACCTTGTAAATACATTAACCTTTAGGCTATTTGATACTCTCTAGCCGGCCTAGCCAAAGCTGATCCTGGCATCCTGGCAGAGTCAAAAAACTGGGGATGAACATGGATGAAGCCTCACCGACGGTCTGCACCACGTGGCCGATCTCATGGCCCTCTCCTCGGGTCCAGTCCGGTGTGTGAACCAGACTAGAATTGTCCACAACCCGACGTGGGTTTTCAGGTTCCATGTGGGTCTTTCGAAGACCGACCAAACACCACCTCCACCACCTCCACCGGATGATTCGGCTGCTCCGCGCACTGAAGCGGCGTAAGGGCCACGCGACCTAGGCTGGCGTTCGGGCGTGATCCCCTGCACCCTGCACTCCTATGTCCCTCGGACGAAAGCGGCGGGTCGAAACGGTGGTTCACCGCGTCTCGTCCAAGCCAGGTCTGGCCGGGGCACCTCCGCGTGGAGTGGAGTGGAATGAAGTGGATTGATGTGGTGGGCTGGGCTGTTTCTTAAGGACTTTTTCTGTTCTGAAAGAACCATACTCAGTTGAAAGGATAGAGATGATGTCATCTATAGGCAATTGGGTGTGAGTCAAATCCGGGGGAGCTTGATTGACCACTGAAGAGACTGCCCGGCATGGTCAACCTTCCATGTTTGGGGTGCAACCCCACGACTGCAGGAGCAGCTTCTCAGGTTTCAGATGCTTTAACGAACTCAACCCGAATCCAGATCATGTCTATCGTATAACATAAATCCATAAGATATCCATATAATCGAGAACAAAAACATTTGCTCACTTCCTAGTCGAAGAGGTCTCTGCAACCGGAACTTCACTCCCCACCGGAACTCACTCCGCACGACTCCAAGCAGTGTTCGGTCAGGACTCCGCACGCGAAGCGGTCACGATCACCACCTTGACCATCATGGCCTGGAGCTCGGGGAAAAAAAGAACACACATCCCCGAAGTGGCTTGTTGTGACTGAACAATCGAACCTAGCTTGGAAGTCTGATGAAGTCTGTATACTGCATGTGCAGGTGCTGAAGTCTTTTGGATGGTTCTTCATGTAGACTCTAGAGCAAAAACTTGATTGTGGGCAGTCATTTTGTGAATCAACAGTGAGTTCTTGGAGCTTCCTGGCCCAGCCCCGTTTTTTCAGAAGCCAAACAAAAGCCCTTGGGGGTCACCGGTGGACTGGGGTACAGTCTGAGCTACGTTGAAAAGCGGCAGTGAGAGTGTGTTTGGCATCGCTATGATCTACACCCGAGCTGTTCATTCATTATAGCATCAATGGCATCAATTCCTACTGCAAATGTACCAGGACCCTCCAAGGGGTGTCTATTTATAGCCCCTTAGCCGTTAAGGGGTGTCCATTAACCACCCCTTGAAGGCCCTGGTAGTTGTTTGTGGGCAACCCACTCTTTGTTTCCATCAGAGGATCGGATCGGCAGGTACTAGATTCAAATAACATATGGGTTTTGAGATTGTTTTTTTCAAAAATAAAATTGGGCATGTGCGGCATGTCCATTGTTTTCGGATGTTGACATGTGTGAGACGAAAGCACCAGACGACCTGTCTTAAACACTTTGACTGTGCCCACCTTGAGGCACTTCAGAAACCTCCTGAAAGCAGCCCTACGAGACACTTCGCAAACCTCCTGAAAGCAGCCCTAGGTCCTCAGTTCATGTATTAAGATCAATGATTTGTTCCTGCCGTGGAGCAGTGTTGGGGGGGACAATGTCATGATGTAGACTGGTAGACTGTTGAAAAACAGAACATGGAGATGCAACACCATTCTGGAAGTTACATTACTCGGAACTTGGGTGCAATCCCGTGTTCTTATGACCGTTGACAACCCTTTGCATGCTTCCGTCTTGTTTGGAGACGCACTTGGGGAGCAATCTACAAGTAGACGGGCTCCTAATCTTGGTGGTTGAAGTTGCAGAATCAAAATTGCAGATGAGTTCACTCGGGCTCCAGCTGACTCCTTTTTTCCTCAGATCGTTGGGCTGTCTAGGGTCCTTTCTGCCATGTACGACTTTGGAGTTCGAGACCTCAATGAGGTGTACGACTTGCCCTAGTCCTGAGAAGGTGGGCCGGGGGTGGGTGCCAGGAGGGTCTAACCACCGAACCTGAGGATATGGGCCAGGAGCCTGGGGTTGTTTTTTTTTCCTTCCGGACATTGGTAAACACACCCATTTCGCCGAGTTCGGGTCCTCTCCACGGTCACCGGACCTGGTCCTGAGGTGGAACCGTCGCGTTGGCAGGATCGCTGTGAGGAGGCGGGCATGGAGGGCAAGTGCCTGGGGGAGATGCTGCGGGGTGGAGGGCCAGTGCCAGGGCGTGGGCCGGTCTTCTCCCCAAAAATCACGATGGACATGGAGAAAGGGGTGTTGGGAGTTAAGATGTTTGATTTGGGGGTACCTTCTTGTGCCTCTTTTGTTTGTTTTCTTGGGTGCGTATACGAGCAATGAGTCTAAATAGGCGATGTAGGATTCGATTCAGGTTGAGAGGGGCTTGGTGGGTCAGGCGGTGAGCGTGCAAGGGGTGTGGGGGCCAGACACGACCTTTTTGGGACTGGAATATATGCCGATCAATTGACCCCTCAAAGAACCTCTCCAATCTGGTGGGAGAGTTTCAGATTGGGATGCTCGCAAGGAGAGTCTCATGCACATTCTTATCATGGGCTGAAGCAACCCGCACTCAGTGGGGGATCGCCAATTTGTTGACACTTTTCCCCACTCATCCAAATCCTTCCAGTCTTCATCGGCCCATGCCATTGGGAATCTGCGACTGCAGGTGCTCCAAGAAGTCTTGACCATCACACGACATGGCATTGCAGAGGAAGAGCTTGGCACTTAAGCGATTTGGGAGGAGAGACGGGTTGCGATTTGGCCCATGATATGTTGCCGGGTTGGCTTAGCATGCCTGGTCGTGGTTCTCCCCAGTGTGAACTTGTTGGAACATGTTGGAACCTCAAATGTCCTTGGTTACGCCCCCCCGGCAAACTAACATGGAACCCGAAAATGGACCGATGGAAGACAATGTTCCTCTACACCCCAGTGGTTTCGGTGTTCCATGTTAGTCTGCACGGGAGTATACAGTATATGTGGAACCTTTTTTTTTGTGAGAAACAGTTAACAATTCATGAACAATCTCCGGAATGGGGGAACGAGTCCAAAAGTCCAAAAGTTGAAGTCACAGCGCAATGATTACTGTGCTGTATGCATACTTTTGATCAGTCGTTTCATGACACAGCAAGTATCATACCTACTGCAGAGTCGCAGAAGTGCCATAGGCGGTGTCGGAGTTCAGTTTCTTAGCAGCTGCAAATTTCATTTGCTAGGTGGGCAGTGGATGTGATCAGGCCACGATCGCATGGCATGTGACAACCCGCATGGTGACTTTCCATTTTTCCCTGGATGAAGTCCTCGGATTTCCGCGGGGCAACCGTTGCGCGTCCTTTGTGCTATTGGGAGTGGATATTTTGGCATGGGAGACCGCGCTAGGCCGGACATACTTTAGAGTCCAACTTGAAGCTCGGAGCTTTAAAGCTGCCCCTTATGGAATCCATGGGGCTGTTGTTTGAGGGACCAATGTTTAGGATAATTTTCAGGGCACGCAATTATGTGCCATCCATGGATTGTAAGGGTTTGTGCGAACGGGGAAGTGCATTAATTATTCAGAGAACCCATGAAACCACACAACGTTTGATATACAAGCACACGGGCGAAATGGAAGAACCGTATGCCCATGTATGCCCTGTCAAAGTCTATGTGTTTCAGAATTTCCTGCACAATGAAGTGCTTTTGAATACTCAGAGCACGCACCTTTCATTTCCTTCATTGTTGCTGCTACTGTTTGCCCGGTATTGACGTGTGCAGCTTTTTTGCTCAGTGCTAGCTAGGAACCTTCCTTTGCTTCTTTGTGCAGCAGATGGAGAAACCTCATAGGACGCTGTAGGCCACTCCATGTTGGCCTTCAAAGAGTGTTTGGGTTGTTGTGACAGATATTTTTCTATGTTCAACCTTCACGTGGGATGATGATTGAATCCACTGAGACTGATGATGTTGTTTTTTTAAATGTGTTTGCTTTTCTCATGTCATGTCGCTTGTTGCATGCCATGTTGCTCCTTCAGGTTGGCCTTGGCCAAGCGTATGTGCTTGGACCGTGTGGCTGAGGTGCGCGCATCGTCATCATGTTTCGATAGGACTTGGAGGGACTGTGTAATCTCTTGCAGTCTTAAGCCGGCGAGCATCGCATACTAAGAGATACTAATAGGGATGTGTTTTGAGTTTGCTAACTTTTGGGGGGCGGCTCAGGCCACCCAATTCTTCAACAGTGAGGACACATGATTCAACAATCCACTGGAGCCTGAACTCTTTCAGGACCTCTTTTGAACATTTGAACCCCTTCACTGATCCATGTCCACTGCACAGACCATATAACTATAGTATCACCCTCCCTGAAACCATCATGATTACCTGGAAACCATCTGCCTGTTCATAGAGCAAACTCTCAGTCGTCCAGACTCGCGGCTTCCCCCGGTCACACCGAACCAGCACTCGCTCCGCCTCGCTGGTGGACGACCCGGGCCCCAACGACTCCAGTGTCCGCCGAACAGGGCGTGAGTCGGGGGGGGCCCTCGTAGTGAACGGTTGACGGTTGAGCAATCCCTTCCACAGAGATGTCAAACAGAAGTTGGTACATCAACAGTCAGCATTAAATCACGAAAGGTAGCTTGAGCTACCTGAGTTCTCCTTGCTTTAGCAAAAATGTATTACAATCAGGAGTTGGGATTGTGCATTGAGTTTGGTCCTGTAAGAGTTGATTCTGTTCGTCGGGGGGGGGGCCCCCCCTGGATCAAATCCCCCCTGCGCCGGTTCACGCCGTCATGGACTTCTACCAGGGTTACTTGTGATTGCCTGCTACCTTTCGTTCACCCCTCCTCTCTCAAGTTCCCACAGACACACAACTCGTGGCTCGTGACGTGCACCTCGTTTTGGGCCCATGTCCATCGAACTTGAACTGCACAAGCACTTGGGATCACTTGGGCATTCTGGGGCCATAGTATGTGCGATGTTGGAATCCCTATGGGCCTATGGGTAAAACCCACTTCCGGAGACGAGTTGATCATTTGATCCCTCTTGTTCTCCGGCTGCGTGGACTGTGAAGATTTGCAGTTGATGGGCCCCAAGCGTTTGCTTCGTTTGGATTCCGAGAAGTTCCACCACCCGCCGTCAGGCTGCTGCGTCGCAACCCTGGTCCTTCATGGGCGCTGCGACCCAGATCTGGTCCAAGGGGCTGATCTCCGGTTCAGCAGGTGTCGAAGGTTCTTGAGATATCTATCTCCTGAATGAATGGAAGTCAGATCGCCACACCCAAAGGAGCTGACTTCGACTCCTCAGACACAAAAGGCGCCGTGACTTCCCAGTTTGTGTAGCTTGTTGAGTGTGAGACTTGAAACAGAAGCTCTTAGAATCTGGAGAACACATTGTCATTCTCCAACAGTTTTGTGTGTCATTTTTGGTTTCAACACTTTACATGAATCATTGCTTGTCGTTTTAAAGACTCATGTTTTAGTTGTGTTTATATTTTGTTGTTTGATGTTGTTTGTCTTTGGGTGTCAATATACTACGTGGGCTTATCGGAAGTATTTGCAGTTTGTGGGATTTATGTTGGCTCCAGACAGTGGCACCGGCGATGTTAAATCCTTTGTGTGTGCCAAACTTATCCACTGCACTGCTGGTGTGTATGGAGTGGACAATCCTTAAGATTCTTGAAGTGAGCAGACGTTGTTGTTCCTTCTCCGTTTGATCGGTATACAGTATACAAATGTCCAGGGTTTTATGATGTATCAGGTTTGGTGCCACACACGGAATTCAGTGCTTCATCCGTTTTGAAAACAAAGACTAGACTGATCTACACTGAAGAAATCACCAATCACATCGTATACTAAGCAAATGCTTTGCCCAAACGCTTTGGTCTCAGCCCTCAGTCCCTCGACGCCCAGGGATTTGAGACCCCAGGCCCCTCTATGGAGGGTCCGACTCCTCCATATATGAGGATCCGTGAGCGTTTGGGTGAGTGCTTGAAGGGCACCGACCTCGGCTAAGGCCTATGTATTGCGAGACCCCCAAAATCTTGACCGTTCAAGAAACCCTTTGACCGAAGCTGGAAATCTTAAATTCAGGAATCCAAACCGTACAAAAGGAAAACATACCAAGCACCAGAAGATGGTCCATGTCATTTGGCATTTGGATTTCGGATTTCTTCCAATTATGTTCTGTCCGTGCAAGATGTTTGCATATGTCCATCTTCCTTACACAGCCATGCTAAATCTTTGCACTTTTGCACTGCCCATGTCATTTGCCAAGCACTTGACAGTCGCCTGGTATTTGCCCTGAGGCACCTTGTACGGCTATGATGCCGCCAGGGCCCCAGAGCATGGGCATGCGTTGGCATGGTTACGGCCAGTGAGCCAGTCCTCGTGGGGATATAAACATGTAACCCTTATTGTCCACGGAAATGGCCAGGGAGTCAGCAAATGTCAGCAATACTTGTAATTACTGGTTCTACTCAGATTTGTGTTCCATGCTACGGCTCTCAACGGTCTCAACCTTCCAAGAGCATGGCTCCAGTTTCGTCTTGCTCCAGCAGCCGGACCTCCCTTGACTGAGCGGGGGCGGCCCTTCACTTTTTGGTGCGGCCTGGTTGGCCCTTCTGATGGCTTCGTGAGCTGCCAGCAGCGCAGTTCCGTTTTTCTTTCCTTTGGAATGGCCCGCCCTCCTGTGGCCTCGCTCCCCTGGTGCCGGAGGTACCCGGTTGGGGGGGGGGCATTTGGGCAAGCCTACGGGGTTGTTTCATCGCTCCCGAGGAGTGGTTTCTTTTCCTCGCAGCCTTGCCCATGGCCCTGAACTTGGTACAGCCATAGTAAGGGGTCTTGCATCACATGTGTCTTTCGGGTGCTGCCCAAAATCGAGGCACGAAGTGGAAGTACCTGTCGCCTGTCCGACAGGTGTTCAAAAGCCTCCCATGGAAAGTACCAAAAGCCCCAGGTCCAAACAGTCCAACAAAAATAAGGAAACCACCTGGAGTTGGGCCGGGTAGTTCTTTTCCTTTGTTTGGTGGTTCGACCCCACCAGTTTGGGTGGTTCACCCCCCTTCTTTGGCGTGCCTTCTTCGCCAGGCCGGCACCTCTCGGGAGATCGTGGAGGCGGGAGAGAGCTCAGTACCAGGGGCCCGAAGCCAACCATGAAAAACCAAGGTGTTCACGCACCAAATACACGGTTTTTGCTTGGGAACCAGCAGAGGTGGGTCAGAACCCGAACTAGACTATCCTATATAGGTACCCCTGGTAGCTCGGGTCCTATTTACGGTCACTTAACCTCTGTAGGAACACCTGGTGTTTGATGGAACCCGTGGGGCCCCTGGTAGCGGCGAACGAGTCCAACTGGGACAAGAGGTCACGACTCTATGTGACTCCAAAGCAGTGGAGGAAGGTCTAGGCGGTCTAGGTGATATATTATACATATATATATATATGCAAATTAGGGGCCCTATAGGGCTCCAACCATTTGACTCACTCGAACTTTTGCATGGACCCCTTCCCTAGGCTAGCCAGTGGTTGATAAGCTCAAGGGGTCACCCATCAGTCTGGACGTCGGGTTTCCTATAGTCTTCAGATCTCTTCAGTGTTCGTAGGATGTGAAGAGGATGGTAGGTGGATTCGTTTGAAGTTGGTTGGATCTACAACATTCCATAGGGGTTGCGAGCTCAAAACCCCTAGTCTTCTCCAGCAGTCATCCAGCAGTCACAGAGTTTGATGCCAAGTTTCATCACTTCGATCCTTGCATAGCGGT